AAAAAACCACTTCACATGAAATAATATATAAATTTTATTTGCTTGAGCATGTAAAACTTTTCTCATAAGTCAAATTGCCTTCTGGAATTTTGATTGTTTCATTTTCTTTTCTTTTTTTTACTATTGAAAATTTCTAGCAATAGCTTTTTCTTTATTTATTATAAGAAAGACATGTTTCTTTTATATATCATCTTATATAATAAAATCCATCTTATATAATCAATTCTACTAAGTTATTATATAATTGCATTTGCATGCTTTGAATATTATAATCATCTTAAAATAAACATAATAATATAAGAAAAGTATTACTTTTAGTCCCTACATCTTGCTTAAATTTTGGTATAGGTCTCTATATTTTTTTTTATATTTCAAGTTTCTACACTTTTTTTCATCTATAAGGCTAGTCCCTATATCTTATGAGGGACATTGATGTGGCATAGATGGTGTTAGTAATACTGACATGTCAACTAACAATGTTAATTTTATACTTACGTGTTAAAATCATATTGTCATTGATTTTTTATTTTAATGAGCAAAAATTAACAAAAAGCTTACATTAGATAAAATAAAAAGGCTGACCTAGACTCTTTAAAATTTTTCTTATTAAAAGATCCATGCTAGCGTCTTTATTTTGCAACATCCCAATTTAAATTTTAATAGTTAATTTGGGTTAATAGAAATTTTAAAAAAAATATTTAGAGATAAGCAAATTATAAGGAGATGATTGTTAAATCTAATCAGAATATAATTCTAAATTAAAATTTAAAATAATAATAATAATTAATTAATTAATTAAAAAAATATTAAATTATTATTATTATTATTAAAAAAAAGAAAATGTATAAAGAAAGAAAGAAGAAGAAGGAGAAGAAGAAATTGTGCTTTCGGTGCTCTCCCACGGCAATCATGACACACATATATATAATAATAAAAAAAGAAGAGAGAGGAAAGAGGAAACAAAAAAAAACATGTGGGACCCGCAGTATTTTTTTTTTATAAAATCACCCTCCTTCCTTCGTTTCTTCATTTCATCCCTATACACGAGCTGAGGCAGAGAGCGAGCGACATTGATGGAGAGGCTGACTGATTAAGAAGGTGAAGCTCCATAATAGGATACTTCATATGAGATTTTAAGTATTTTAAAACTATGTAAGTGTTCTAAACATTTTTTTTAGTCATATTTTCTCTTTGGTTTCTAATTTTGTGGTGGTAGAAAATTTAGAATTTGAAAGAGGGATGAATTTATGTTGAATAAATATGGTTTTGAGGTTGTTAGTAGTGTAATAAATATTCTAGAGTATTATTTTGTTGATAGAATTAGAATTTGAGGCATTTGAGTTTATTCCTAGATTTCTATGGGTAGATTTTTGGTTAAATCTTAAAATATAAATTGATTTGTTGATATTTAAATGATTATTTGAGATGAGAAATAAATTATTATGGCTATAGAATAATGATTCTAGGCTTGAAATCAAGTTTGTAATTTTTGGGTATTTTTATGTGCGAATTTTTGGAATAACAAGAGAAATTTTGATATTAGAAAAATATTTGAATGAAATTATTGTGAAGGAGACTATTGAACCAAGTAGAGAGGTTCAAATACATGAAATTAAATTTTAGAATTCAAGAGACTAAGACTAATTTCTTAAAATAAATAAATAAATAAATAAATATAAAATAAAATAAAATAAATACTTAGGTGTTAGAGTATGAGTAAAAATTGTGTTAATAATATTATTGACACATTGGAATATGATTAATTGTAAATTAATTTTCTTTTGACACCATTCAAGCTTTGGAAAGCTTTGGAAGTGTTGTAATTTGAGGGGTAACCTTTAACCTCTCAAAGGTTGAGGTAATCAGGGAAAATCTATTTTATACATTTGTATATTAATTAATTAATTATGTTGGTGAAACAAAATAATATATATATATATATATATCTAAATTTGAAATAGTTGTTTGTAATGCATGTGGCTTTATTGAGACCTTATGATCTGTGACCAAGTTAAATGTGACTTGGTATAAGTAATGAGATTGATGTTGATGATGATGTGCACAATCTTGACTATAAATTATGAATTATATATATGAGTTTTTTTAAAATATATTTTTTTTATTAGTATGATCATATGGCGGGAGTTCGCCTTAGTGAAGGAGTTAGCGATTACACAAAATCTATATGGTACTTGGCTATTAACCAATAATCCTAGGGGTTATAGCCGCTACTTACCTTATAAGGTACTGTAGCATTGTTCCTATTAAGGGACTTGACCCTACTGGCTTACTTGGAGTTTTGGGTAGAGCTAGTTTTGGGTATGACACCCCATAGTATGTGATTTGGGAGAAACCGTGTTCATAAGTGAGTAAGGTAACCCTGACCTGGTAATCCCTCATGATATGATTAAGGCTTTGGGTAGTCTCACTACATGGATGATCCCTTCTGGTTGTTGGCCCACGGATTTCATGTAAGAGGAAATAAGGGGGATATAAGGAAGAGATTGATCATGCATATTATTATTATCATGCCACTTGAGTGATTAATGGCTATGTTGAGAATATGATTATAATTGTAGAAATGAGAACATGTAGTAATTATGCGAATAATGTATATGTGGCTATTTATGCAAATTTTATACTTGACTTTATTCTTGAAATTATTCACATGAGTTAAATGTTAATGTAATTAACATGTTATTAATGTGATTGTTTGAATGGTCACCTTGATAAATTTATTGGTCACTTGTATTCATGATTAATTATCATGCATTTGTATAACTTAGATATATCTTGGTTACTGAGTGGTTGTACTCACCCCTCTCTTTTAACATATTACAGGAGCTAACTCGTCTGAGAATAGTAGAGGAAAGGAGCATTAGGCCAAGTGATAATAATCACTTCTGTAGGCCTCTCTCCTTTTATTTGATATGTGTATTTAGTTTATAATATTGCCATCTAGGATAATATATTCTTGATCCACTTGCATTATGGGTTTTGTGTTGGGAAAAATGTATTTTGGGCCCTGGGGAATGTGTTTTGATGCTTGTGCTATAATTACGGGCTAAAATATTTGTGCAGGTAAAAATAGTTATTATCATGCTTTCGCATATGTTTAATTAAATGATATGAGTTCTTAAAATATTTTAAAAATTTGGGATCTCTTTGTATTAAATAGTTTGTAAAAAAATACATGTTAAGAATTTATTTAGGTTAATCTCGTAATGAATAATCCATTTGGGTTAGTTCTTGATTAATTATGATTAGTGTGATGATTAAATTCTAATTTAGGATGCCCTTTACATATTTCATTTGATGTTGGCTTTTTTGTTTGTTAAAAATCCATGTTGGCATCTTTATTGCATATGATGTAGGATTTTTTTTTTTCATTTTTTCTTATTAAAAAAAATCCATATTAGCATCTTTATTTTATCTAATATAGGTTTTTTTAAAAACTTTTTACTCAATAAAAAATTCATGTCAACATCAATTTGACATGTAAGCAAAAAATTAACAGTATTAATTGGCAAGTGATATAAAATTAAAAAGGAAAAGGGAAAGAGAGAGAAGAGAAAGACGATGAAGCCAGAAAGAAGAAGGGGGAATACCAAAATGATTAAAAATTGTTATTTCATAATCCTTAAAAGTTAAATACAAATGAAAAACTTAACTTTATTTATAAAACTCTAAACATAATAAAATAATAATAATAATTTAAATTTAAATTCTAAATTTAAATATAATTTTAAAGATACTGATATTTAAAATAATAATAAAATAAATAATAAATCTTGATTTTAGTGGATAAATATTATTATTTAAACATCCCTAATAGATAATGGATAAATTCTAATTATCATAACTAACCATTATCTCATATTTCATCATTTAACTATGATTCAATTAGTTTATTTAAGATGTTGGTATTTCATATCATGTCAACTTTTTTATAAAAATATAGGGATCAATGTTGCTGATAGAGAAAAATGTAAGGATCTATATTAAAATTCAAACAAACTATAGGGATAAAAAGTAGTATTTTTTATAGCAATATATAATAAATAACCAATACTAAATGAATGAGAAAATAATACAGGTTGAAGATTTTGCTAAACAAATTGAAAGAATCATTGTATTAATCAACAATAGACTAATATTTTCAAAATTGTAATATTTTACATCATATACGATGAAATATCTCCTGTGTGTCCCACGGGATGAATTCTAGTTACACTCAACCATATCTAATCGCATCATATATGATACGACATTAAATTAAAGAATAAATGGGTTTAAGTCGTTTTTATTTTTTTATAATAAATAAGAAATTATGTGATGTATATATAATTTTTTTGACAGGAATAATTCATGTAATTTTATTTACACTAATAATAATAATTCGAGACAAGATGTTAAAACTGTAGTCGTAGCACAATAAAGAACGACAGAGTTTTATAATTGTGACCCTTGATATAAAAAAAATGACTTGAGTCACCATACGTTTTCTTGAGGATAGGAATAAAAATAGCTGGAGAGCGAAAGTTAAGTAAGAACGTGAATTTGATTTGCTTTCATCCATAGCGAGTCAACTTTGGGCTATAAATTAACGTAATTAGAAACTTCCTAATTATGTTGACGAATCTAATAGACACAAAGAAGTTGGCTGTATCGCTTGCGCAATAGAGAAACACTATCAAATAACAAAACAACAATAAATAAAATAAAAAAGTTGGTGCGTGCGTTCCTGTCAAAATAGGTGAGGAGGGATTCATTCAACCATACAGCTTTCTGGATGGCATTCACTCGCACAAGCGTCATTATTACCAAAGACTTTTCAAAAGCATATAATAATAACAGTATAATATATAAGTAAGTGATAAATAAATAACGACGATCAATAATAAATGAATAAATAAATAATAATTCTCCACAAGAATAAACATGGAATAGGAGTAGCATATTTAAAAATGAAAAAGGCTTTTGTTCCTCAATTCCCTGCGTGTAAGTTGCGCTGTCTTTCTCGTCCTTTTTTCTTTCGTTTAACTCCGAGTTTGTAGAGAGAGAAAATAAAAGAGAAATAAGGGATCCAGAGCCAGCCAGCAGGCAGCCCAGGCACCCTCATCATTCTCTTCCTCGACGTGATTTTGTTGTTTGAGGGTGAGACATCATCAAACCCCAACTCGTAGAGCTCCTCTGTATTGTGAATCCCTCTTATCCCTTGTAATATCTATCTGTCTTCTTGTTTTCTCTTCCTCACAACGGGCTCGACCGTATTCATCTTCCCCTTCCTGCCGACAAAAGCTTCCGATTGGATCAGGTTCGATCTCATTTCGCGTCACTCAGATCTGGCTTGGATTTGATTTTTTCAGATTTCAGTGTCTTCGATCTGATACATGTATTGAACATATTAGTTTTAAGAATTGCTACAGTCATTCTTCTGGGTTTGAATTGGAACACCTGGTCATTTGGGTTTGATCATGTGAATTCTGTATTGGTTATTGACAATCTTTCTTTTCTTGTTCATTGGTGGTTTTTTTTGGATCAGTATAAAGGCCTTTTCTTTTCTCATTTCTTTGTATATAGTCCTGACGTCCCCTTTTGGTCTTTATTTATTTATTTTTTTGTTCCTTTCAATTCTTTTTGCCCGAGGAAGTTGAAGGTGTTCTGTTTAATTATTTCTGGATTTCTCTGATGAGTCGTTCTCTGTAGTTAAGCCTTTTCACATGATCAGTGTTTTATTTGATCGAATTGGGCGCTCAACTTTTGCTCAATTTTTATTTTGCATCCAAGCAAGTGCATTAAAAAATGATTCTACTTTATATGTCGTTTGTGCTCATTCCTTTCACGACATGCTGAATAGACAATGATACCTGGTAACTCCTGCTAGTTATATTCTTTTACGAATAAATCAAGCATCTAACTAAATGAGATCTCTTCGATTGATGATAATCCCTGTGCAAGTAAAAACATAAAGAAATGCTTGAACTGCTCATTCGAATGTAAGTAACCATTATATTTGCTAAGAGTGTCTTATCTTTCCTTGAATCAGCGTGTGAGAAAAATTAGAAGCAGGCTTTATTTAAATAGGACAAGTGCAACCCGCGGTGCTGGCTCATAGATCATACTGAACTCCAACTCCAATGAAGAAGGCCATTGGTCAAACTGTTAGAGACCTGTAAGCCAACTGTTTATCATTCATTACTTAGTTAAAAAATGACGTGGATCTAATAGCTGTTCTCAGTTGCTTATATTTATGGATTCATATAATTTGCAAAATCATACTCATTTTCTAAAGTTAGGATAATTTCAGATTCTTACTGAAAAATAAGCATATTCCTTCACTATTTATAATCTACCTCACTGTTTTTTGTATTGTTGCAGTAAAAGAGAAGTAAATAAGAAAGTGCTGAAAGTTCCTGGGATAGAACAGAAGGTGAACATTTTCTTCTTTCGATATTCTCTTTGAAACTTTTCATGTCATACTTCATTCTCATCATCAGAGGAAGGATTTGTCCCAAGCCTGAGTATTTTGTATAATAATTTACCACTTTATTGAGGATAGCATGGTGTAATTTTAAAAGGAAAATCTTAATTAAGTTGATCCCTCTATCTCCCTTCTTCTAGGTTCTTGATGCTACCAGCAATGAACCATGGGGTCCTCATGGATCACTTCTTGCAGATATTGCACAGGCAACCAGAAATTAGTAAGCTTTTACTCTTACCTTTTTAATGCTTGGTATTGTAGTTTTCCTGAGAAGCTGATATTGAGTGTTTCTGCAGTCATGAATACCAGATGATTATGGCAGTGATCTGGAAGCGGATTAACGACACTGGCAAGAATTGGCGGCATGTCTACAAGGTTTCAGTTGAACTTCTGTTTTAGTTGAATTTTTTTTTATTAATGCTTGCTTCTTATCTTATTCCTTTTCCAAAACGTATGCTACTGCTTTGCGAAGACACTGCAGGATTTTTTATATCCCCAAAAAATATGGGAATATGGATTTTTTTTTTCCCTTCCAAAAATTAGTTTATTAATCTGATGATTTGTTGACTTATAGTTGATGAATATTAAAATTATATCCATACATAGGATGATTAATATTAATAATATTATAATAGAATTGATTATTATATTCCAAATTGTTATTCACAATAAAGAAATTGAGAATAGATTCCCTCCAGTCTAAAATATAGGGCAAAGTTTACAAATGTTTTGGACTGGAGGGAGTATGTTCTCGCACATTTTAGAGCTCTTTAATGTGTTGTGGTGAATAGGGTTAATGCAATCCCAGGATATTTTCTTTTATATAATTTGTTGCTTTTAAAATTTTTTATAGTGTTTTGAAACATTTTGAGGTTAATACTGTTGATTGACAGGCTTTGACAGTTTTAGAATATCTGGTGGCTCATGGGTCAGAACGAGTTATAGATGAGATCCGAGAACATGCCTATCAAATATCTGTAATTTCCTTTTCCCAGATTCCACTTGAAGTTACATATTGCTCTATAATTTTTCATGCAGAGGACCAGTTTATTTGAAGTGATTTATAAATTTAGAATGCGACTTGATATGATTGTAAGTACCGTGTGAAATTGTCAACAGACATTGTCCGATTTTCAATATATTGATTCCAGTGGAAGAGACCAGGGTAACAATGTTAGGAGGAAATCTCAGAGTCTTGTTCTCCTTGTGAATGATAAAGAAAAAATAATAGAAGTTAGACAGAAAGCTGCAGCCAACAGAGATAAGTAAGTCTGCTGTTGCTAATTAATTTTGATATGTCGCTTGGTTATTTTGCTTGCTGCTGCTTTTAGCTAGCACCTGAAATTTTTAGGTCAGACATTTTATTTTCCTAGTTTAGAAGATCCATTGGTTTTTTATTGGAACAATGGAACTTTTGGTTTTCAGATTATAAGTCTAAAATCACAGGTTCTAATATGTTTTAGATATAAATATATGTGGGTTCTCATATTTGAGGAGAGATGTAACTGTCCTTAATGGGTTACCAGGTTTCGAAACACTTCAACTGGTGGAATGTATAGGCCTGGGTCATATTCTGGCGGTGGAGGTTATGGTGATAGATATGATGGTGATCGATATGGAAGCAGGGATGAAGATAGATATGGGTATGGTTATGGCAGAGAAAGAGAGTATGGATACAGGGAAGATGATCGGCACAGTCGTGATGGTGATCGTTATGGCAGAGATAATGAAGAACGCTATAGCAGAGATGGTTACAGGGATGATGAATATCAGGGAAGAAGTCCAGGTGCTGATGATTACCAACGTGGCTCAAGAAGCAGGAGTGCTGATATGGACCGTAATTATGATGACGACGGCCAACATTCATCTCGGTATGCCCCTAGAACTGAATATGATAATTCATTCTATGAAGTTATTTTTTTCTACAAATACGTAAATGAGATAACATATTTTATTTGTATTATTCTAAATGTTCATGTAGTTCTGGATCCTTCCCTTTGTGATGTCATGCAATTTTATGTCTTTTCTTCAATTTGATGTTTTGATCACTATATTATGGGTTGTATTGGCTTTAAATTGTTTTGATTTTCAAGATATTGATCCTTTACTGTTAAGCTTAATTTAAATCTTTCTGAAAAAAAGCTGTCACCTTCCTTTTATGAAGAGCACTTTTGGGCTTTTGCTAGAAAAGAATTCTAACGTAAAAGTAAAGACAGAGCACATGATAACCAATCAATTTTTATTTTTTGGGGGGCTAGTGAAATGAAATACAAGGGAAAATTGCTAATGAAATACTAGGAAAGAGGCCCTGTGTTTCAAGATCTTGTAGAAAAATTGCCCATGAGAACTTCTCAGGTAATTTCATGAGGTCTTCTGTGATTTTAGTTATTGGTCATTTTATATTATATCTGAAGTTTGGCTTAACTCTTCTAATAAAAATTTGAGCTAAAAAAGTGGAGATAACTGTCGTAAATCAAGTCTTTTTACCAGGTTTTGTTGCATATGCATTAGAAAAATTTCTGGTGTGAGCCTTTAACTGTATTTGGCATATCAGCAATAAAGTTTCTTAAAATATTTATTTTAACATAAAAAACTGGCTTTCTTATATTTGAAAAAAAAAACGGGATTTTTGTGGAACTATTATTCTGTGGCATAGCTTGATCATGGATTTACTTAATCTTTTATGTCATTTTATTTTAGAGGTAGCAGTGTGAAAGCTGAAGATCATTCTTTGGAAGCAAGGCATATTCTCCAATCACCTTACACTTTATCCTTCTGTCTCTTCCTCTATCATTTTGTGCCTGCTTTCATGTTGCCTCTTGGAACTATTGAGATTGATCATTTTCTATGCAATGACAGGCTAGAACGCAAACTTTCTCAGCAAAATGTCAGTGCCCCTCCTAGCTATGAAGAAGCTGTTAGTGAATCTCGAAGCCCTATACAGAGTGAAAGGCATGAATTTTATACTTCACGTGATGTACTAAGTACTAACGACAGAAAGTTTATACTTTGCATGTTGTACTTGGTACTAACGACAGAAAGTTGTTACTAATATTTTCCTGAATGCAGGGATGTAGAAGCTTCAACAGCATCTGTTCCAAGGGGTTTTTCTCCAAATGTCAATGATAATATAGCTCAAAATTCTGCTCATACAGGATCTTCTCCTCATGTAAGTGATAATCCAACCCCAGCAACTGCTGCTGTTGGTATTGCTACATCTGCAAACCAAGAAGCTGATTCTTTTGATGAGTTTGATCCCCGTGGTTCTGTATCAGGTATGCAAAATTCTTTCTAGAATTTTTGTTGCTTCTAAGCAAGCTTGTAGTAATTTTTTCTTCCTGTTTTTGTTTTGAAGAATTCTCAATGCATGTTGGGGTTGAAGTATATGCATGCGTTTTATGTGCCTTGTTAAATTATATTCAGTAAATGATCTTTTCCTTTCTTTTCTGATGTGGAGTGTGGGGGTTGGTTGTTGTTTCAATTGTTAGATTGGATGTTGGAAAGCACCGTTTGCAATTTGCTTTGAACTCTGTAGTGAGGCTGGGAAAGCGCTATCTGAGGGTTTATTTGTTATGCACCCAAGTCACAATGATGTGGTGCCTGTTTGGATAAGGGGAAAACGAGCATTTTGGACCCCAAAATCAATTTTTTCTGCCAATTATCCAAACAGTCGAAAATGATCAAAAATGGATTATGGGCCAAAACGCACTTTTCCAGAAGCTCCCTCCGTCCGCTTTCTGCCAAAAGTTTGTCAAAAATGTTGGGGAAAATTACAAATACAAGCCCAAGAACAAATTACAAAGAAAGCACATAATTTAATAAAAATAAAATCAAACTCTCTTCTTTTTCCTTTTTTTTTTCTTAATAAAAGTTAAACTTTGTATCTTCAAAAAATTGATATCTGGTATTTGAACATTAAATTATATAATAATTTATATAGTTAAAAATTAATTCTAATTAAATTATCCAAACATCTTCAATTCTATTAAAATTAATTTTAGAAAAATAGTATCCAAACACATTACGTTATAACATAATCAATTATGATTAAAATCTATCACTTAATCAATTATTTTCATAATCTATTATATCCAATTGAAATCCAAATGGGCATGTGGTTTTGTTGTCAGTTTGACTCATCAGGTGCTGAAAAATTTGCTGCTGTTCATGTGCTTGCAAGTAAAGCAATATGGGCTCCGGTATCCTTGCCCTGATGAGTTGACTTTGGGGATGGCAGTATGGCATATGTGGTGGGATCATGGGATATTGTCCAGTGATTGGACTTCTGGGTTCAGCCAATTGAGGCCTTCTAGATATGGTGGTGGGGCATATGCCTTGAAAAGAGGATTGGCTCAAGGAGTCTCACTCCAGCCACAATTAGCTTAATGTTGTAGAATAATTAGGCTGTAATGAGTCATAGCTGAGAGGAGGTGCTGCTTGAAAGGGTCTCAACAGGCTCTAATTCATTGCAATGTTGTCTTGTTTTTAGGGGAATAATAAAGGGGAGTGCAACAGTTAGTACAATAAAGTTAGTGTAATGAATTTCTAATATTTACACTACAAGTGTGGACTTTAATATGTAACGAATTATCATTGGCAGTCATTTGATGTTTATTGTAATTTCAATATTGAATTTGATACTTAGAAGTGATAAATCTGTTATCTGGATAGCAGTTATAGTTTACAAAGGAAGGGACTGTTATAATAATTCTATGATCCCCCATCCATATTTTCCCATGCAACTTCTAATCTCTTAGAGTTTCACAGTAACTCTGGCATTTCTTGCTTTCTAATTCCATTTTAGAGCCTACGATGGTTTTGGTGATGTCGTTTCTTTTCTTTCTTTGTGTCATTTTGTATTGTATTTGAGGTTTTTTGTTGTGTTATTTTTCTTGTCTTTTATTCGTTGTACTTAGTTTGTCTTTGTAAATCTTTTGGTTTTCAATAATATTTCATGTTTCTAGAAAAAAAAAAAACAGAAGCAACTATTAAAATAAAAAGTAAAACTTGATAAACTGTGTATGGATAGACGGAGTAAAAAAATAAAATGAAAATCACAAAGCCACCTATAATGGTTGTTTATGTTGACATCCATGATGATGCTAATAGGTCAAGCTCTCACAAGACTGTATGGGTGGAAATAGTTCATGAGCTTATCCTGATCTAATTAAGGCTTAATTTGACCTATTTTAGAAAAATAATAGGCCTAGGCTTTACGACCAAACTTATTTAAATAATTAAGTATGATCTAGGCTTACCTATTTATATTTATCCATATACACATTCATTTATCATTGGCAGTCATTTTAACATCAAGACAGCCTTTTTTTTTTTTTTCAAGTAATGCTCTCAGCATACTCTTACCATATCTTTATGTTTCTTCTCAGCTGCTCCTGCCGCTTCTAAAAATGTTGAAATAGATTTGCTTGGCTCACTTTCAGAGTCGTTCTCTTCAAACACATTGGCTTTAGTGCCAGCTACACCAGCAACCACTACCCCTGAAGCCAATGCAAATGGTGGTTCTGCAACTCCCTTTGCAGCAGCAGCATCTGGGCCCAATAACATCAATCAGGTAGGAATTGTGCGACTGTTGTCACTTCTTGTGTAAATAGGTATAAAATTGTTTTTCCTCCTTTCTTAGTTGCACAAAACACTTGATATTTTGTTCAATGGTGATAGGTGGTTATAGAACTGCTTATTTTTCAATGCAACGTGTGATTTTATGCGGTGGATAAATCTCCATAAATGTGTCTATGATGAATGGGTTGATATTAGTGTCAAAAGAATTTAAACTAAATTGACATCCGCATAAGCGCATGCCAAGTCGCCAGCACTATTAGTCAGTCCTGTTTGTGGGCCACAAAGAATTTGACCTTTAGTGGAGGAGATTGGATTTGGAAATTGGAAGCATGTCTTCTGCAGATGGCTATATAAGCATATATGCTTTGAATAATTCTTAGATGCTTTAATGTCTTCGTGCATGAGACGTTCCTTCTGGTTTCCTCTTAAATGTTAGTCCTTTGTGATCTTTGTCGAACTAATATTGTTGGATGACTTTTGGCAGCCATTTGAAGATCCATTTGGTGACTCACCTTTCAAGGCTATTCCTTCTATGGAAACTGCTCCAAATCAACCTCATACATATCAGAGTTTTGAAATATCCCAATCGAGTGGTCTTAATCCAGAAAATGTCTCAAACTTTAGGTTTGGGGACTCATTCTCTGCTGCACCACACTCTACACCTGGTGCCACTCATCCACAATCTTTCTCAACAAGCTCCCAGTTTTTGCCTCAGGATTTGTCAGCTCCACAGCAGGAAACTGATATTCTTGCAGACATTCTTCCTCCAGCACCGTTATCTGTGATGACTTCACATCCAAACACATCAACCACTGTTTCCCAAACTTCACCTCCCTCCTTTTTATCGTCAACTGGGCAATCTGCCCCGGAATCATTTTCTGTACCAAGCAGCCAACTTGCGCCACAAGGTTTCTCTGCTGCAACTAGTCAACCTGGACAACAAGCTTTTTCAGTTCCCTCTGGCCATCTTGTTCAGCAAGGTTTTTCTGCTCCTACAAACCAACCAGTGCAATCTCCTTTTTCAGCTCCAGCTAGCCAGCATGCCCAACCTTTTACGACTCCCACTGGGCAACTTCCGTATCAGACCTTTACAGCTCACACTGGTCAACCTGTACAGCATGCATTTTCATCTCCTAGTGAACAATCTATGCAGCCACCCTTTTCTGCTCCCGGTGGTCAACCTGCACAATCAAGTGGTAATCTACACGGCGGATTCAACTCTCAGGTGGGATCTTTGACTCCACAGCCTCCAAACATATCTCAATCCCAAAACGGACATAATGGACAGATCAGCAGCGAGAGCTTCCTCCCACAAGGATCTACAGCTCCTATTCCATCATCAATGGGTTCTCAAGCTCCAACAGGACAGGATTCACAGAGTGCAAACTATTTTCTACAGCAGGGAGGATCTAATGCTCAATCTCCATTTGGTCCTGCATCACAGTATAACAGTGGGAACCTTGTTGCACAACAGGGGACTGCAGCTCCCTTTGGCTCGTCGATTTCCAATCAACCACAAAGTGTGCCTGGTGGAAAACCAAACGATGTTTTAGGTAGCTTATTTGGTTCAACTGGAGGGAATGCTCCTAATGCTTCATCCTATGCTGTTTCTTCATCTGGACCAATTGCTGTAGTTCCTCTACAATCCAACGACAAGTTTGAGACAAAATCAACTGTTTGGGCAGATACACTAAGCAGAGGGCTGGTTAACTTGAATATATCTGGCCGTGAGTGATTACACACCTTATCAAGCTGTGCTGATTTTCAGTTTTCATAACATGAACATCTCATCTGCTTGAATGATTGAGTTTTATGCTTTTTCTATGCAGCTAAAATAAACCCATTAGCAGATATAGGAATTGACTTTGATGCCATTAATAGGAAGGAAAAGAGGATGGAGAAGCCTGCCGCCACCACTGTAACATCAACTGTGACCATGGGCAAAGCTATGGGATCGGGTTCAGGTATTGGTCGTGCTGGTGCTAGTGCTCTCAGAGTTCCAGCTAACCCAATGATGGGTTCAGGAGTGGGAATGGGCATGGGCATGGGCAACGGTCCTGGTGTTGGTATGGGTATGGGGGCCTATGGGGGCATGAATCCCTCAATGGGAATGGGGATGGGGATAGGGATGGGGATGGGGATGAACATGGCTATGGGGCAAGGAGTCCAGATGCAACCACCTACTGGTATACCTCCTGGGTCCAACATACCAGGTAATTATAACTCCATGATGGGTCCCGGTGGTTACACCCAACAGCCATATGGTGGTTACCGATGAAAGTGAACACCATTCTACATTGCAAGGTAAAGTATTTTTACTCCGATTGTTTTGCTACGATGAAAGAGATGGCATGGCAATGCTGGTGCAAGTGTGCTACTACCTTAAGTGGTCAACATCTGAGATTTGATTTTAAAGCACTGTATTTTTAACATGAGTTGTAATTTTTTTGTAGAGTGACCCAGTGTGATGTATGTTTATTGTTCAACCTCTGCTATTGTCATTCTTTTTAGGGTCACATGTTTCTGTAGCAGCTTTGGCTTGTATTGAGTACACCAGTGAATGGTTAGAATAACCTCAGGCTTCTGTCTTTTGGTTTGTCCCACATTTTTGCACACCAACCTGTGGTGTGAAATTAATATATTCTTTTTCTATTTCCTATTAATAGTTTTTGTAATTTTCTGCTGAACACAGACACGTGTGTGACAACTTTTTCACGAAGGAATGTTGACCGCAAATATGAATGTACTAGATCTCCTTCGAACATTGTGACAAGTGATTGGAGTCCTAAAAATGCCAATATTACTTTTTCTTTTTCAAGGTGTGGGAATAGGGATTGAGCCCTTTACATGAAACATGTAAAGACATGGTTCTTCTTATATGAAATATTTTTTGAAAGGTTGGATGTTAAAAAATGTAAGACATTTTCAGTCTTTTAAGATATAATCATTCGATTAAATAAATTATTTTATATTTATTTTAAGGTGATATATCTGATTAAATAAGGGTAAATATGAAAAAATAAAATTAGTTCAAAAATAAATAATTATTTTATTAAAAGTAAAATTAGGTTAAAAATGTTTTATATTTTTAGACGGAAAAGTAAATCTTTGCTACTTTTGTGAGAGCTGTTGGCATTATCAGTTTACCGTTTGCTTTGTTTTCTGGTCCAAAATTGCCCCTCTCTGTTTTTTTTTTAAAAAACAAGACTGGTAATCTCCTATCAAACTGCACTTGAAATTACCGAAATATGGTACTCCCTCGAAAAGATTGACTTGCTGAATTATGATAGAGATGGTCCAAATGACTGGAAGTGTGCGTCATTAAGCTATACATGAAGATGCGTTAACGATTATTTTACCAATATGGGTTAGATTTCCCAGCCTTTCTTCATTAAACTGGCTTTATTTTAGAATGTGTACTGTGAATTGGCTATCGTCACTGATCTAGGCCCACGGTAAGAGTTAACAACAGATGAAGCCAATTATTATTATTTTTATAGCAAAAGGAGGAGGCAGAAATTATCTCCTTCAAGGTACTGAAAGTAATGACACGCTTCTCTCAATTAAGTATGCATACAAGGATTATGATTTGAATTCTCAATCATTTGCTTACATGATGAAAACCCCTATCTCTTACTTCAATTTTAAATTAGGCTCACTAGTCTTGCTATAGCTTTTGGTGGGGGGAAAAAGCATGGCTATAGATCAAGAGTCCGAACTCAATTTGACAACATTTTATCAAGTTATAAAAACTGATCCATCGTTAAACAAAATATTTTAATTTACTCTGGTGGATGATAATAAAAGAATTGCCTAAAGTCTTAAACAAGTATAAGCGGAGTGTAAAATCAATCAAATCTCCAATAATCATACTCCTTCGGTCCTATTAGGAAAGAGAAAAAATATTTGTTTTGATCAATAGTGCACCTCATGAATTTTGCATCCACATTTATCATTTTGTTCTAATTAAATATTACAAATATTATTAAATGTTAGAATATTTTATTTTGAATTTTGCATCCACATTTATCATTTTGTTCTAATTAAATATTAAAAATAGTATTAAATGTTAGAATATTTTATTTTTAAAATGTGTATTTAATAAGAATAAAATTAAAAATTTATTAAATTTTTAAAAAGTTAATGAAATTTAAAGTTTTATTTAATTTTGATAAAATATGTTAAAAATAATTTATAAATAGAATCAGAGATAGAGATATATAACTTGGGAAACAACATGCTCATGAAATACAGGCGCGCATCTACACGAGAAGTCCATTAACCCGTTCTACTTTTATGCAAGCATTAATTTATGGTTTCATTATTAGGTGAGCATCAGCTTATTTTTCATACTAACAAAAATTCACAATCTGACCTTGCCCAGTTATGTGGGCACAAGGTATAAGAGCTTAATGATTTGTGGCATCCGTCATTCTGTCAAGCCAGTCTAAGAGACGGATAAATATAGCTACATTTACATGTACGCATGCTTAAGAGTTCAACTGTGAATGGTTAATGTTGGAACCGCAGTTTAATAGTTAAACACCAAAGGGATCTTTTCCAAGTATCAGAGGAGAGTTAATCTTGAGTTAAGAGAGAACGTTCTTGACTTCGTTAAGTTGCGCCAACATAAAAGTACACGCTTTGAAGAACCCTTAAATCGCCACAAGATGACATATGGGGGGCAAGGGATCTAGAAACTGCAAACCAGATTACCATCCAAAATGGTCTGATTAGCAATGACAAATGTTTATATAATCCAACCCTAGGCGCCAGCTTACAGTTTTATTTGTTTGCAAGAGTTGTATATCCATCTCCCCAAGGTTATCGAGGTCATTAATCCATGGAATCTTAGAAAATCTCGAGTGTAGTTCTTGTGAAAGATACGGGGATTACACCTGGCTTCGATTTTGCCCTTCAAACCCCCATGGGATGCCTTGAGGAGCCTTTGATCATCTTCAGCCTACTTTTATCACCATTATTATGAATGTAAGGAAACCTGGGACAGCATTATCAACAGATAACGAATTAAGGCCAAAAAAAGATAACAAACAGACATGTTAATTCCCAAAAATAAAAAATGCTCTTGACATCATGTTATTACCATGGGAATGTAATGTCACTCCAAAAATACTTGAATTCTGTCACCCATAGTGTCATTAAAATCTAACAACTGTTTGCCGCCTACTTCCTCTGCTGCATCATCCAACAGTTCTTTGAGATTTACGCCCCCCAGAGCTGTGTAAAGTTGAGACAGAAGCTCTCAGCTTAGGTTGCCAAATTGGAATAGATACCAATTTATACCGTAACTTCATGGCAGAATTTCTAAAATAGTACCTGGAACTATGCTTGTGATTCCCTCCAAGAATCCCGCCTATATATGATCAAATGTATGATATGAAGGGGGAAAAATTGGTCAAAGAGAAGAACAAAAAATTTTTCATGGGACAAAACAAAACTTAAAGAACATTGACCATAGAGGAATTACTTGCAGTAAATGTACATGACCACCGATATCAGGGGGATCAAGATATCAATGTTTACATGCTCACTAAAGCAACACATTATATTATAAATAAGAGAAAATTAATTTTAGTTCTTTAATTTTTAACTCACTTGTAACACAGTCTCTCAATAATAACTTACTGTGACTCAGTTCCTCAACTATGAGTCGTTGCAACTTAGTCCCTCAACTTTTGACTCACTTATAATTCAGTCCTTATTTTTCAAATTTTTCAAATAATGAAATATATATCAACTTCTCTAAATGAGAGGGTAAATGGGTAAGGATTAGAATAATTATTCCCGTAATCAGTATTCACAATGCATCAATTCCAGCCTTAAATATAAGTTGCGACAAGACCATGAAATAATAAAATTTTGAGAAAACATAATTTTAAATCCTTACACTTTGCTCACTTTATGCTATTGGTCTCTGCACTTTTTTTTCCGATATTTTAAATCTCTATACTTTTGTTTTTTTATTGTTTTAGGTCTCTCCAAGGTCCTTACACTTTGCTCATGGAGGGACCTAAAAAATGAAAAACAAAAGTGTAGAGACTTAAAACACAAGAAAAAAAAGATCCAGGGCCCAATAGCAAAACGTAAGCAAAGTGCATCCAAAGTCATGTTTTTCCTAAAATTTTTCACTGCAAATGTGGAAAACAGTAAGCCGTATCCTTTAGCAGTTATACTTAATAAATACGAATAAGACATTGTCAAATATCCCCAATTTTTAATGTAAACTGTGCACTTTGAAGCCACAGAATTTGCTTAAATCCAGTATGTTGCCCCAGGAGGCTGGAAATGCAAGGTGACTTACAGGGATCCTAAGATCAAGTTTCTCAAATCCATCCCTTCCTGTTATTTTGATTCTCAGAGTCCGAGACCAGATCCTTGAAAAAGGGTCCTTTGAACCATCTGCAGCATAGTCATTGTACACATCAGGGGTTATAACTTCCACAATGGGTTCTTGAGAACTTTGACTTGTCTCCTCTGTATCAACTTGATCCTTCCTTTGTATACTGTAGAGGCTACTGCTCACTAACAAATAACTGCATACCATAAGAATGCAATTGCGGAATGCAGAATATATATTCATTTACATACAATGTGAATATCAGTGATATGCGCTAGATCTTTCTCTTCAATTGTTAATCTTTTTGCCTTGAGGTGATATGGAGTTGAGTACCAGAGTGGCAAGATGGATCCTTAACGAAAAGAAAGTTCTCTAATTGTCTTGACTATTTATGATTAATCAGATGTTTTTTTTTTTTAAATAAAGTCTGATGATCAAACATGTCCTAGAGAATATTTTCTCCACATAAACAGAACTCTCAACAAACTTCACAAGATTCTCTCTAAGATAAATTATCCATGCGGATGAACACATGGGATGATTCTATTATCAGCAAAAGAACCTTCCCTTTGTACACTTCTATGGAAATGGTATGCTGAATCCAGATATATAAGTACTACATTGTTTGAAGAGAAAGCAAAACAAGAATGTATATATGCTATTATAGTAGAAAATTTAGAGGTATATAACACATGTAAGAAGCTTAGTGCTCTTTCATTATGATACCTCTTAAGAAAAGCAATGCAATTTTTATGTAAAAGGTCTTTCACTAACCTCTCGTTGTAGAAAGCTGATCCAGGCTTGTAGCATAACGCTTCTCTTCTTCATAGTAAGTATTGAAACCTAAGATATCCTTCATTTCTTGAAAAGACGGCATGCTTCCAGGGGGAGGAATACGACCTCCTTTAATGGCAGTTAGGGAATCCTACAAATTAAGTCCTTGGCATCATTTACCCTTAATTACTAAAAACTAAATTATCCTTTAGTTCCAAAGAAATATTGAAAGAGGCTGGATAGAATTCCAAATCATGAGCTAAAAATTTTGCTATATGTTATAGGCTCAATTACAATCAGCGTAAACAAGCATGGCAAATGGACATAATAATTTCTCCACACCTCAAGTCTCAACTCAATCTTAAACTAATTAGCATTTATGAGGAACAGACATGAGCTTCAAAACATCATGTCAAATTAGTAAACTGGACAATGGACCTTGTTATTATATTTATGAGATTTAGTTAAAATATCCCAATTCATCATTCCCACTTAAAAGTCCCAATAAAATTATTCTAGATAATCTTCAAAATATTCCCTATCAAAATTACATTACAGCAATTCCTTCTTTGCTTTAGATAGAATGTCTTTTATTTTTTATTACCAAAACAAAAAAAGAATGTCTTCTATTTTTGAGAGTGTGAGAGAGTATTGCCTCAAATAAATGATGCCATATATTGCATTCATTAACTTATAATAACGCAAGGGTTTGGATTTTGGCATCTAGATACACCCTAAAGGATGTTAGTTTTACAAGATGAGTATTGGGATTTCCTTTTATATGTCGAACATGTTAAAATGTCAGATTTCAGTTAATTTTATTTGCCAACAAGCACATCCAGTAACTCGTTTTCTTTTCTTAGAAAGACGAAAGGAAAAGGCATGTCACCTGCATTGCTTGTATAGAAACACCAATCAAAGAAAGTGGATAAGCCACAAGCTTGTAGCCAATATCTTCAAGTTCTTGAGGATTAAGTATAGGTGTTTTGCCTCCTCCTTCAAGCATATTGGCCTACACAAGACTACAAGATCTTACAATAATGCAAACTTTTTCCTGATGGCTTCACACACACACACACACACACAGACACACAAAACCAACAGAAACTATGAAACAACAACAACTAGTCATGCAAGTTACTAAAGAAGTCCATAATTTTATTTGCTGGAATTGAATGATAAGCTATGTACATTCAGATTGGATTTGTGATTTCAATTCAGGACTTCCTCATTCCACATGTGAATTTACTTGAGAGTTTCTCATGAAATTTTTCTAATAAACAAGACTAATTTGAGAATGTGACTTTATGACAGTTACTGCTTATTAAATAAAAATTCTATAAACTACCTTGAAGCTTTCACATGACAAATAAGTAAAACATTTTGTTATGAAGAAAATTTGAGTGCAGATAAAAAAAATACCATTTTTGGAATAAGTGGAGAAACTTCACAAAATGCTTTCATTTCCTCTTTTGATATCAGTGCATCAATAAATAGAACATCTGCTCCAGCATCAGCAAAAGCCCTTGATCTTCGGAGTGCTTCGTCCAACGACACTGCTTGACAAGAATCAGTTCGTGCTACAATGACTATATCAGAGCCACTCTCTATTCTAGCATCCACAGCTGCTTTAATCCGCATCACTGCCTCCTCTCTGGACACCACTTTCCTTCCTTTTGTGTGGCCACATGCTTTCGGAGATACCTAGGAACCATTATTAGGCAAAACTGATTAAAGGAAACAATAGAATAATTCAAATCCATGACCTCAGGATTATTAGGTCTGACAAGTTAGAGAGAGATACAAAGAGACTGGGAGAAATTATTAGATCACCACATAACTCTTACAGAATAAAAATATGACATACAGAAAGAAACCTGATCTTCAAGAATGATTCCAGCAAAACCAGCTCTAATATAACCCTTGACTGTCCTTTTAACATTCATTGCATTCCCATATCCATTATCGCCATCTCCAATGACAGGAATTGACACAGCTTGTGTAATTTGTTGCCCATGATCCACCATTTCTCCATAAGACATATAGCCTGTATCTGGCAACCCCAATCTGGAAGCTGATATTGAGAAACCTAAACAAAGCACGGAAAAGAAAAGTTAAATTGCTGATCTACAAGCTGAAAGACAATCTTGCGGTATAAAATAGCAAATGAGGCTGATATTTATTGATCCTGGTCACTTGCTTCCTACCACTTATTTATCTTCAAATGTCGGCCTATATTTGCCATAACAAAGGATATTAGTTCTGTAAAAACAAAAGCAATTACTTCCTTTGTTAAAAAATGTAAGGTATTTTTTAAGGAGTTGGATGTTAAAAAATGTAAGATATTTTTAGTCTTTCGAGGTGTAATCATTATTTTTTTTTTCAAAAGTACCCTTATTGATAAATGACTTTATATTTATTATAGGGTAGGGTATTTAATAGGGGTAAATATGGAAAGAAAGGATTAATTTGAAAGTAAATTACTATTTTAACAGGAGATGAAATTCGGTTAAAAATGCCTTATATTTTTTAATGGAGGGAGTGTGTGTTTTACAAATAACAAAACTCAAGTTCTGTAAACATTTTGAGTTAGAGAAGATGACTCTAAAATAAGTTATAAGCCGATATGATCTGAATTTAGTGAAAATATAAAGGTTTAATGCTCAAGCCGTGAAAACGGAAATTCTCCAAGGTTTTGAAATCCAAACATCTCGAAAATGACATGTTTCCTATAATGGAGTATTAAAAAGATCAGTTGTTAAACTGATACCAAACAGTTAAAATAAACTTACAAGGAGCTCAAAGACGGAGAGAACTTGAGTTGCAGATCCTTATATATCTAAAGTAATGAAATTTAAGATTTAAAAAATTTGTGAGCATAGCACAAATGGAATTCGGTAAACTTTAGTTCGTAGTTGCGGTACTTGAAGTGTCAATAAGAAGTAAATTAACGAGTAAAGCCAATTGAAGAATGAATAATCCGGACGAAGAAGCCACTTAAAAATATTAATTTTGGTTATTACACAATCAAACATCTTTCAATGTCATGATTAGCATTCGAGAGCTAATTGGCACCTTTATGCATTTGACGCTTGTGCAATATAATTAGTGATTTATGGTCTTGAATGGTTCCCACCTATCTATATATCAAGTAATCACTGATAACAGGCAAGCACACGGGATGACTAGAGTTTTTAACCAAACCTACATGGCCACACGAGATAAATTCTACTTTCTCCCCGAAAAAGTAGACATTCTCCCAAATCATATCCTGTTTCAATAACGACAAAATCCTTAAATCTTGAGAAGTTCATACCGCTGGTAAAGCAGTATCGGAATCCAGCTCTTTCAACAAGCTTGGCACTGAGAGCATCGAAACAAGCAGGGCCTTGATGAACCCCTGGAGAGTCAAGAATTCGGCGAAGTACCTTGACCGGAGCCTCGTTCACAAAGCCCCTGTCAAACGAGCAAGCTACGGAGGTTCGACGATGAAACCGGTTGCAATTACTCCCTGATTTATTGTGTAAAGGATGGATGACAGGCGAAAGCGAAGGAGACGGAAGGGTGCACCCAGCTGAAAATGTGGAAAGTTTGGGAAACGCTGGTAATGGAGCACATCGATGCCTATGGGGTGAAGGTGCATGAGGAAGAGACGCACAGTAGCTTTGGCCGCTAACTACCGAACCCTTCATTGTCCCTCTCCCCCCCTCTGACCAGATTTCTTCTGGTAATAGTGGGATTAGCCTGGATAGTTTGTCGTCCTCGTGGAGATTAATTCGTGCCAAAATTACATTTGAGACCCTACAAGAATTATCGTAACATGAAAATAAGATTATAATAAATATGTTACATTAAAATTGTCAATTAATACAAAAAAAATTGGTTGACAAAGAAGAAAAATAATTAACAATTATTTAATAACAACAGACAGCGTCAACAAAAAAACATGAAATTGTTATGAATATTAAAATAATAGTAAATGTTCATTTTCATCACTTCTTCATCTTCATCTTCTCCCATAGAACTCCCACTATTATAAGAATTAATTATCCTTTATTTACCTTTATCATTTATGTAACATTTGATATGTAAGATCATGCCTATAAATAGGACATGTAATTTGTATTAAAGTACACAATACTCTACAAGAAATTCTCTCATTCTCTTGTCTTTAGTTCTTCTTCCAATATCTTTTTTTTTAGCTGTTTAATTTCATAATATGTTATCAACACGAGAGTTCTGGTAATCTAAAGGTTCTGTAGCAAGGTTTCTCATTGCAAGGTAATTTTTATATTCATATATGATTTGATCTACTTCCTCCAGTCCCATTTATAAGGTAGGTTTTAGAAGGCCTATTTGGTCTTATTTATAAGTCATGGTGTGGCTTTTTAGGTAATAAATTTTTTTCTATATCAAGAAACTTATACAAGAAAAGTCTTAACATAATTTTATATGGATAAATCACATTAATTATGTACCCCAATGGTTGTAAGATTATTGAAGGTAGATAAAGATCCTTTTAGACCTAGTTACATGCAATTTAATATCTCATTTGTTGTTAACTTATTAGCGAGATATAGTTCTTCACTAATATGAAGACACTGGAATGGTGTTAAACACATTTTTTTTTGTTATTTTAGGGGTACTAAGAATATGGGATTATTTTATTTTAAAGTACCTGAAGCTGACTTTATTGGTCATGTAGATGCTAGATTTTTGTCTAATCCTCATGTTGGTAGATCACAAATGGGTTATTTGTTCACATGTGGTAGTATAGCCATTTCATGGCAATCTATGAAACAAACAATATCAACTACATCATCTAATCATGCAGTGACGGATCCAAAAAATTTTAATTATGGGGGCATCATATATTTACATTTATAAAGATACACTTGTAATACAAAAAATATATCATAATACATTACAAAAAAATTGAATATACATCACAACTTTTCCTCTTGAAGTTTTTTTTTGGATAAACTTTCCCTACGAGGTTTCATATTTTGATAATGTTGAATAATTTTTTTTCATTTTCAACACTATCAAAAATTTCTTTTTCTATGTAAGTAACCAAATAATCATTCAACAGTTTATCTCCCACGCGATTTCGCTTCCGATTTTTAATGATATTCATAGCAGAGAAAGCCCTTTCAACTGTTGCAGTTGCCATTGGTAATATCAAAGCTAATTCCACAAGTAAATACACCAACGGATATATACAATATGCTTCTTGGATTCCACGAACTTTATAGAAAGATCACTAATTCCTCCTAATTTTGAAAACACACTATCAGAGGATACATCTATAAAATAATTTTGAAACTGATTATCTAATGCCAAAAATTGTATAGGTGAAAATTAAGCAGGATAAAATCGAGCCAAACGAATTAACTTCTCCTTATGAAATGATGAAAATGAATCTTTTGGATTTAAGTATGCTATACAAAGAAGCAATTCAGTATTTACTCCTGTAAAACGATTGTTCAACTCTTAAAGTTGCCAATCAATGACTTGATAAAATAATTCAACTTGAAAGTGATGTAAATTAGAAACTTTCTCCATTCCATGTCTTGGTCTTCCTTGTATTTGAAAGACACCATTCATATTTGAAATGATAACATCATGCTTTCCACAAAATAATGAAACTTCATTAAATAAAGAATGACAACCATCATCCCTCATGATTTGCAATCTTTGTTTTGACACTGCAACTAACTTCATAGCATTTACAGTGTCTTAATCTCTTCTTTGTAATGCTTGAGACAACTCATAAGTAATTCCTAGAATATTTTTCATCAAGTGCAATATGAAAACAAATCCAAATGATTGCATGGAATTTAACAAAGCACGTGCTTCAGCTCTTTGATCTAAACTTATGCCATCTTCCTCAACAATTTCAAGCACATCAATCATAGAGGAGAACAAGGAAATTAGACTAAGCAATGTACCATAATGTGAATCCCATCTAGTATCATCTACCCTCTTGATTGTTATTTCTTAATTCAAGCCACGTCCACTTGAGATTTCTTCCCTTTGCAAAGCTTCTTTAATCTTATCAATTTGTTTTTCACGAAGAATATCTCGACGCTTACAAGAAGCTCCAACAACAATAGATAAATTATTAACTGTGCTAAAAAATGATGCTATTTCAACATGCTTTTTTGCTACTGTAACAAGAGTTAATTGGAGTTGATGGACAAAACAATGAATATAAAATGCAATATTATTCTCTTTCAATATTAAACTTTTAAGACCATTAAATTCACCTTGCATGTTGCTTGCTCCATCATATCCTTGTCTACGTAATCTTGACAAACTTAGCCCATAGTCTGCAAATAATGACTTTAAAGTTGATTTTAATAACAAAGCATTAGTATTAGAAATTCAAATAAGACTGAGGAAGTGCTCCATAACTTTGCCTTGCTTGTTCACAGAACGCAAAGCCACAACCATTTGTTCCTTAATTGAGACATCTTGAGATTCATCAATCAAAATTGTAAATAACTTATTTCACAGATCATCAATTATAACTTTAGTAGTTTCACTAGCAGCAGCTCTAATGACATTAGCTTGTATTGCAAGAGCTGTTAATTTGAGATTTCCACGACCCTTCTTCAAAACTTTGTGAATAGTCTCATTATGATTAGCAAGAAAATTTAGAAGCTCAAGAAAGTTCCCTTGATTATTAGAAGATGATGACTCATCATTACCCAAAAAAACTAACCCTTGACGTAATAAAAACCAAATACAATTAATTATTGTAGTCAAATGAATCCGATAGTTCTCTTTTATTTGATTAGATTACCTACTTATAGTAATATCAATGTGTTGTTTTTGTTTCATTAAAACTTCACAATTTCTCCAAGCTTGGTTATGAAAACTATTTGGACCTCCAACATAAACTTGAAACCTGTCAATTTTTTTTCAATTTGTGAATCCTTCTGTTAGAAATGCTTTACCACTACCTTTGTGCTGTCCAACGTCTAATCTCATAAGATAACAACATAAGCAATAAGCAGCATCTTCCTTTTGACTATATTCTAATCAATTGCCATATTTTGAATATCAATCTAGATTAAATCTATGAAAGGTATTCCCAAATTGTCTTTGGGGAAGATTAATCTCTTTTGGTTGACAAGGAACCTTTTGTAAATAATATCTTCTAATTTCATCTCTATCATTGGGATGATAACAAGACATTTTTGGTCTCAATCCAAGATCACTAGGAAGCTTTTCTAAATCAAATTTCAAAAATCTTGAATCTAATGTTCTATCTCTGCATTCACCATGAGCTTGAGAAGATTATTGTTCTGATGATGTTGCTTTTCTTTTGAACATTTTTTTCCATTATAAGAAGCCTAAAAAATTCGAAGTTCAATTCAAATTATTATAATGATAGTATGACATAAACAAATCAATATAAAATAGAAAAATAAAATAAAAATATGTGGAGTGTTGTTTGTAATTGTGCTCTCACTATTCAGCATAAATTATTCAAAGCATTATCCCTCTCATTTGACCATTTTAGCATTCCAATAGAGTATTAATTATAGACTAATAAATAAAAAAGTTGGTGGTTCCAAAAGATGGCCTTCCTCGTGTACTTACGCAGCTACGTCTGCCATCTAAAGCAAAAGGCCAAGAATCACATACTCGTATATCTATTTTTTATTTTTTTGTTCTCTTCCACTTTTAATAATCTATTCATTCCAATTCAAAAATTCTTGGCAAAACGCGATGATCATTCTTAAAATCAAAACCAAATTAAGCTTGGTATAAAGTACTCTACTAGTCCCAAAGCACCGAACGCAAAACTAAAGAGTGGCAGTCTGGTCTATTCGGAAAAGACTTAATCACCCGCAAAGGCTTAGGTAAGGGTAGTGAAGATTGAGTTGCAGAGCAGAGCAACAAGAGTCGAATGCATGATGAAAAGTGAGTCTGCAGTTTGGGATTTTAGGGATTTTGTTTTTGTTTTGGTTGCTGAAGCAGTGAGGCTTATAAGGGAAGATGAAAGGGGTGCAAAAAATAAGTTTTTAATTACAAAATTAAGAGTATAAAAATAATAAAAAAAGTTCAATGCGTAAGTGTTATATTATTAATCATTGGGGGGAATTAACATCTATTAAATAGGGGCATAGAATACATATGCTTCTTATATTTTTTTTTAAAAAATATGTTTTTATTGGGGACAACTGCCCCCTCTTTCATCCATATAGATCCCTCATTGTAATTATGCATAAATTCTAGTTGTACATGAAGCAAGTTGAAAATGTATGCGGTTAAATCATTAATCCATTACATAAGGACTACTTATGGTCTGTTTTATAACAAAATGATCTTGACGATCATATACGAAGATAATATTACTTGTATTACCCAATTGAAAGTAGGGTACATTAAATGAGATACAACGAAACATATTTCATCAATTTTTTTTACTCACAATCTTCAAGAAAATGGTAAAATTAATATCCAACAAATTCATTTCAAAGAAAATCTAGCTTATATGTTTACCAAGTCACTTCCTGTTAAAATATTTGAAAAGCTTTTTCTTGATATTGGATTTCACAAACTTAGAGATATCAATTGATGATGTCAAGAGGAGAAGTTAATATGTGCTATACTCTTTTTTTCTTATCTAAGGTTTTTTTCTCATTGGGTTTTCTTAGCAAAGTTTTTAATGAGACTGCATTGAAAAGCGTATAAATAAATGATGTACTCTTTTCTTTTGTTAGGTTTTATCCCATAAGATTTTTCCTAGTTAAGATTTTTAATGAGTCACATTCTTATATAATGCACATCTAGGGAATGTGTTATGAATATCAAAAAGATGGTGGATGTTCATCTTTATCACCACTTCATCTTCATCTTCTTTCATAAAACATCCACTATCATGAGAATTGATTACCTTCCCATGAATTTCTTACTATCATGAGAATTGATTACCCTTTATTTGCCTTTATCATTTGTATAATTTTTGATGTGTAAGACCATGTCTATAAATATGACATGTAATTTGTATTGAAGTATACAATAATCTATAAAAAATTCTCTCATTTTCTTGTTTCTATTTCTTTTTCCAATATCTTTATTTTCTAATTGCTTAATTTCATACAAAAATTTATTTTATGAGACTTCTTTCTATGGTATTTTAGAAAATTTTTTTCCAAAATTATAATAAAAAATTTTTAAGTCTAAAATACTCACTTATAAGGTGAAAATATGGGCCAACTCGTGCCATTTGAATTGAGAGAAATGTGTATTAGGTTGGGTTCAACCTATTTTTATATGGGTTAAAAAAATCTCAACCCAACTCTTGAGAGTTAGCAAATTAAATGGGCTAACTCGCTAACTCATTTATTTATTTTTTATTAATTTTTTAAACATATATCTAAATAATAAGTTTTTAATTTAATATTTCTTCATGATTCATTTTAAACATACCAAAATATTATTTTATAATGTTTGTACAAAATATATAAATTGATCCAGCTAAATAAATAATGTCTAATATGGTTTATATCCACAACATTTTTTCCTTTTTCCTTTTTTATTTTTTTTGAAATAATATGGGTTAAACGAGTTAATTCTAATTCATATGATTCACGGGTTATATGGTTCGAGTTAAAAAAATCCGTTTTTATTTGGGTCAATTTTTTTTAACCTAACTCAACTCTTATAATCAGTTATTCGAGCAAACCCACATAATCTAACCCATATTCTCAGCTATTACAAATAGTATGTGTTGTTAAAACTTCTGTGTTGTTATATTTATAAATGGATACTAGGGTAAACTAAAACTTATAATTTTTTGCAACTTTATAACATCTCAGTCTTTATAATTGAAATTTCTAAAAAAGAAAAAAGGAATTGGTGAACAAATATCAAAAAATTATTTTAAAGAGTTATATATTTGTATGAGCTAAATATTAATTTGCTCAAATAATTGGCTGTCTGTGATTAACGCCAAGGCGGGAACATATTCCATTGAGAGATGTCAAGAAAGAGCATCCCCCACTTGGGATTAGGAATCCCACTAGTGTCTCCTTTGCCTCTACATGTCAATCCCCATTATTCTTTCTTTCCTTCTCATACATCTATAAATACTTGTTCTTGTCACCCTTTCCCTCCATTTCTTCACCAACCCACCCCCATCAAACTGTCACTCTGTAAGTTTTTCTTCCTTGTCTTTCTCCGTTTTTCCGCCTTCGTTGCTTTCCTTGTTTGTTAATTCCCTCCCTCAGTTTTCTTTTGTTTGTTATAATTCTTGGTTTGATTCTTGTGCGAACCAATTCACTTGAACACCCTTAATCCTTTATATGATAATATATGAAATTTCTTTCCTTTTGCTCGACTGTATATTTTTCTAGTTCGTTGCAGAATATTTGCTTCTTTTTTCTATTCCTCTCTATGATGAGATTTCTAAGGAATTAGAAATTGAAACATTCTTTTTAATGGGTAAAGTTATACTCCTGAAAATTTTTTCCTCAATTCCTTTCAGATGGAATGTCTTTCTCTATGGATTATAGTTTTTGGATCTGTTACCTGGATATTATGCTTAGAACTAATAATCTATCAAAACTCAAAAGTATTTTGCTCAGGCAATTTGACCTTATCTCTGGGCTATGCTTTTTACCCAAAAATAAAAAAAAAAAAAAAACAAAAGAGGAATCTCATCTATGATGGGTACATCAAAAAAATAATAGTTAGTTTCATCTGCTTAGAGAAGAAGTTTGGTGTTTCTTGCAGTTCAAGGCTGCTGCATCATAAGTCAGTTTTATAAGTTAAAGCAGTCTGTCACCGTCTACAACATTGCATTTATACATCATTCTATACATCTATAGGAAAGTTACAATGTCATATTCAAATCCTTTAATTAATTTTCTACACGATTTGAGCCCCATTTTCATTTGTTTAATTTACTTGGATCACTTGCGTTGTGTTCCTCCTAGTAGCTCAGATCAATACCAAGAATCATTCAAATACATGTTACAGTTGCATAACGGAAACTTGCTTTATGTTGAAACAATAACTTACTGTAAACAATAACTAGTTATGCAACTTGAACATGAAGTACTTATATATTTTGCAGGACTCATTGGTTTCCCTGTCTCTCGTTGCAAGGGATGTCTTATCCTTGCCCATTTCTGAATAAAATGGGAGCCATGATCTGTTGTATGACTAAAGCAAACAAATACAAGAAGTTGGATAGGAAGTTAGAAAGGAAAATAGTTGAAATTAATAGATCTTCTTCTGCTGGACAAAGAAATTTCAAGTCAATTGATACTGTTGTTATGCGGTTCCCTCAGATCAAGGAGGGACTCAAAACATTAAAAGGAATATTTGTAGAGTATGGTAAGTTCCCATTTTTAATATCCATCCTACCTTTCTTTCCTGTATAGTTCTTTATTTTTGAAAGAAAACTAACTTTTATGTCCCATGTTACAAAGATGAGGACTCTAATGGATCTATAGACTACAACGAACTGAAAAAGTGCTTTGAACAATTGCAAGTTCATCTACCAGAGGAGGAAATTAAGGATCTATTCCATTACTGTGACATTGATGGAAGCAAGGGCATACAGTTCAATGAATTTATCGTTCTTCTATGCCTCATTTATCTTCTAGAAGAACATTCACCCTCTGATAATGTATAGGGCAAAAAACTTGGTTTTCTACCTTCTTGATATTGAATCCGTGCTGATTATTATTATATGATGATTTTTATTTCTTTTCATCAAGGTGGAGTTAACACAGCTGGGAAAAATTTTTAATACCATAGTCGAAGTCTTTCTGTTTCTAGATAAAAATGGTGATGGCAAGCTTAACAAGAAGGACGTGGTCAAGACCCTGAATGAGACTTACTCTCGAGAAAGATCCCCAGCTAACGTCACTAAGATCCGATTTAGTATTTCACTTTGTTCTTCAGATAATATTGATATTGTCTATATGTTTTTCTTTCTTGTTCAATTACCTGTTTTAAATACTTTTTTCATCTGTCATTTTTGCAGAAGAAATGGACTGGGACAGAAATGGGCAAGTCACTTTCAGGGAGTTCCTCTTTGGTTTCTTAAAATGGGTTGGGATTGATGAGGATGAACCGGATCATTAAGCAGAAAGTTATGCTGCAGATATGAGTGATTGATTTTAGGCTTTGTTAAACGTGCATGAATTTAACTGTTATAAGTATTTTGTGCAAATACGCTGGTGTACAGTTGTTTTATTTTATATCTTTGAAGCATAATTGAACTCAGTGATGTATTTGGTCATGATTGTACTCTTTAAGCCCCCTAATCTTTGCATATTTTACTGAAATCATGCTGAAAGTATTATATATATATATATATATTTTTTTTTTTTTTCTGGTGAACCTGAAATTTAATAAAGCAAAGCAGGAATACCGTATAGAATACACAATTAATGCCCCACACTAGCAGAAAGATCCACCGATTCTCTAGTCTAGTAGTCTAGTCTTGTTATATACAGTCTCGGCATATTTAGTATGCATAAATTCTAGCTCAATCAAGAAATGACGAATAAGAAAAAGCTTAATCAATACAAAGTTTACAAACTCCTAAAACACATTTTACATCATTGTGTTGAATAAATTCTCAACGTATTCCGAGAGCCTGGATTCTCCTGATCAAGGACAAAGAATAAGCATTCCTTTGTTTCCATTCTTCCGTGCTCTCTTTCTGGTTTTTTTCCACGATCAATCTGTCATTTCCATCGAGGATGCTTACTATTTGTCTCATGCTTGGTCTTAACTGCGGGTCAGACCGGGTGCATGCAATTCCTAGCTTCACCAATCTCATCAGTTCTTTGTAATTGTACTCTCCATTGAGCCTCATGTCTGCTAAATCCTGCAGTGGTCTTTTTCTCGTCTCAAATTCATGAACCTTCTTCACCAATAGCACCTCGGGCTGCCTAAAGTCCACTGCCATCTGTCCACTGATAACTTCAAGTATCACCACACCAAAACTGTAGACATCAGCTGCAGAGGTAGCTTCACCGGATTCCATATATTCCGGTGACATGTAGCCAAAAATCCCTCGAACTGATTTGCTGGTGTCTTTGATTACATGATGGCCATGCTCATTCCGGGTCAAAAATTCAGCCAGGGCAAAACTGCTGAGTCTTGGGTTCATATCCGGCTCAAGGACCACAGCTGAAGAAGTGATGTTCCTATGAATTACATGTTCTTCCCATTCCTCATGAAGATAAAGAATGCCAGAAGCTAGAGATTTTATTATATTGTATCTATGATGCCAGTGCAGGACAGAACACCCATCTCTATGATTATAATGATGCAGAAGATGGTGACTGAGAAGTCTTGCTGCGGAGTAATCATACACAACAAGCATTTCCCCTTGCTCAGTACACCATCCTCGAAGCTGAACCAGATTCCGGTGGCGAAGTCTTGCTAGATTTCGCAGTTCATTAGAGAATCTTTCACGCAGTGCTGGGCAAGTCTTCATTCCAAGGCGTTTCACCATGACATGGTAACGATCCTCAAGGATGCCATGGTAGGCAGTTCCAAAGTCTAGCTCAGCTACCTTCCTTGACTCTGAAAAATGATCTGTAGCCAAGACAAGCTCCTTGTATGATATTTCCCTTGGAGCTTCAACCACAGGAAATGATGTGTGGCGATACATGCTCTTTGCAGAGGAGATTCCACTGTTTCTATCTTCTGCAGTCATGTATATTGTTCTCCCATTTGCCGTGACATAGTTGGATGAAGAATAGTTGGTGATTGTGCTGACATTGTCAGTGACAGTGCTAGAGCCATTTGTGCTGCTAAGGCTTGTATCAGATGGAGATGATAGAGTAATATATAGAGGGTGGGAATGGAAAGAAGGAAGAGCTGGCAATGGCCTTGAAACGTCAGAAAGTGCTTCTACAATCCACTTCATGCTAGGCCTTGATTGTGGTTCATGGAGTGTACAAAGAAGGCCTATGTGAAGCAAATGTTCCATCTCAGAAAGCTTGTAAGAACCATCTGGAAGCCGAGTATCCCCTGCTGCTAGGAGCTTTCTCTCATCAGAAAGCCTTCTGACGAAGTCAAGCAAAATGATCTTATCATCAGGGTACGCAAGGTCAATAGCTCTCCTTCCAGATGCCACTTCCAGCACAACTATGCCAAAGCTGAACACATCAGATTTTGAAGTGGCGATGCTTTTTTTCTGGAAACTCTCAGGGGGCAAGTACCCAATTGTGCCACCAATTCTTGTTGTCTCTGCCAACCTGAAAGGGTCGATTTTGGTTGATGTTTTCCTACTTTGATGATACTCAAGCTCATGTTCTAGCCACCTTGCCAAGCCAAAGTCACCCAACCGAGCATTATATTGGGAGTCAAGCATCACATTGCTGGTTTTCACATCCCTATGAATGATCTGAGTCTCTAGCTGCTCATGAAGATAGTATAATGCAGCTGCCAAGCCTTTAATAATTTTCGCGCGCCTTCCCCAACCAAGAGGCTCAGCATCTGGATTCTCAGGCCGGCGAAAGAGTACGCGGTCAAGGCTGAGGTTAGGCATGTAATCATAGACAAGGTACAACTGATCTTCATGAACACACCAACCCCTGAGCCTGACAAGGTTCTTGTGTCGAAGATGGGCCACAGCTGCTAACTCAGCAGCAAAAGTCTTCTCAAATTGCTGTCCTTTCTCTGCTAAGCAACATTTCACAGCAACTTCTGTTCCATCACTGGGCAAAACAGCCTTGTACACTTTGCCAAAACCTCCACTTCCCAGAACATGATCCTCACTGAAACCATTAGACCCTATGAAAAGCTCAGCAAAGCCGAAGATTCTTGGGCTGTCCCCACCAATCTTGGCAGAGAGTTGTACTCCATCCATGTCATGAAACAGCACGACCGAGCCCTGTTTCCCTTTCCCCACTTCATTGTGGAAAAACCTCGAACAGTTTGTGCCATATAATTTGCTTAGAGAATAACGAAAGAAGGCAAGAACTTGACCCCCACAAGCCCTGTGATGTTTCTTCACCTTGGTTTCTCCCTGGGAAGATTGGTTGACTTTTGATGGTGGGTGATGCTTAAACTCTGCAGAATCTGCAGGTAAAATGACACAAAGGTGTTTCAGCTGCATGGTGGGGGTCAGGCACTGTGCTTGAATCTAAGAAGGATGTACATGGAGAAAATGTGATGGCCTAATAGTTATGAGCAAGATTATTTTGAAGCTTGTTGGTATAATTAGTAAGACGAAGAGGAAGATGATCTTGATGATGAAGCTGACGGAATGCGACATTTTTTTTGTGGTGGGTGGTATTATTCAACGCGCTTAGGTGAGCATGGTTGAATTGTATGCAACAATCTGCCAAATTGGAACCTACCCTGTATATGAGCTCACCAAAAGATTCCTGGGCTTTACTTTTATTGAAAATCTCAATTTCTTTCTGGAAACTTTTGAAAATTTCCATGACTCAATTTTAAGTTTTCAATCCTTTAATTTTGCCAACAAAAAGGCATTATTTATATCTCGAATCTTGATCTGAAGTGAAAGGGTGGCTGTCACTGTCGGGGCTCATATGTTTCATGAGGTGGATATCCAAATCAGCGCAAGTATAGGGCTTAAGGACAAAATCGAATCCCACTAATACAAATTTGTACAGCTTTTCTGGTTGAATTTAGGTGATAGGGCTTTTCATCTACCCTTGCAAATGAGTTGTTCATCAATCAAGAACCGTCTCTGTACATATTTTGCTTCAAATTACAGAGCCCTTGGGAGGGAGATTGTAACAATTCATATATATATATATATATATATATCTATATATTTATGTTTTGAATTCGGTTACTATTGATATTGATGCCTTCCTTTTATTTTGCCTTTTCATTTTATGTTTCTTCTATAATATGAAAGCATCAAGGTTCAACCATAGAATGCCATCTTGAAATTGTAAAACTGGAAGAAATCAGCTTTGACCAAAATATTTCATCAATATCTCAAGTTTGAATTTTTAATAATACCTTTCCCTAATTCAAAACAGTCAATAATAACTTCCCCCGTTGAATTATTTCAAAAAACATGTATTTAAAAATTGTACCTAATTCACCAAAAAAATTGAGGGAAAAAGGTATCAGGTCGGGGGAAAAACAAATGAAAAAAAAGTACCTAATCCAGATTCCCCCCCCCCCCAAAAAAAAAAAAAACAAGTTCTATCTTTCAAGATGTCGAACTTCTTGAAACAAAATTAAAACCATGCTAGTGTTGACTATAAACAAGTTGTGCCCTTGAAATCAATAGGGAGAGATTTCGTTCTGATCAAAACCCAAAACTCAGTCACAGTTAACCAAGCAAGCAAGCAAGCAAAACTAAAATCGAAAGTTTTTCTTTATTAACCACAGCTATTTATTTTTAAAGATAACCACGTTTAAGATAGTGTTGATTATTAAATGTGGGTATATTTTTTAGCAAAAATTCAAAAAGCTTTTCATGTGATAAGGGACTAACTCATTTGCCTAAACTCAATTCTTGTGGATCTAAAATGGAAAGTTAAAGATTTGAGACAAGGAAATGTAGCTATTTCAGTTTCTTTTTTTTTAAAAAAAAAAAAATCTAGCAACCAACTAGATTAGGTAGTCTACTAAATGGGGTTAGGATAAACTAAGATTTAAATTCATGCTAAGATTTAATTCCTTGGTAGAAGATGTGATCATACTTGAATATAATTGTCTCCTACAAAAAGATATTTATACGCAATAAAAAAAAATTACCTAATAGCTATGCAGGGGAAAGTATTTGATCTACAAGAACCCTCTCAATAGAAGTGGAATCGTACATAAGGAACAAGTTTCTCCATATTATATTTGGTATTGCTTACAATTAAAGTGAAAATGAAAGCGTGGAGTACAGGTGGAAATGAATGTTGTCATCAGCAATGAAGTATGAAAGCATTATTCTCGCCTCGTTCAACTTCAATTTTTTTGTTGGTAAAAAAAAAAAAGAAACTCCAATTTTTTTTTTCTAAAAAGGATATATCAATAATATTTAAGCATTTTAAAATCAAAATTTTTCATGAAACTCATCGAATAATTCATGTTGATAGGCTTTTTGAAATTACAGTTAATTCCATTTTTTTTCAGTTAGTATGACTTGATATGCATGTCACAATAATATTTAAAATTTATTATAACTTATTTGGATAATAATCCTTTTTTTCTAAAAAAAATTGAAGTTCCTGTCCTTTATGTTTGTTTAAATAAATTAATTAGCGGATAAGTTAGTCCCCAAAGTCAAATGTTCACAGATAATCACACCATCTTAATTAATATGGGCGGCAGGTCGCCCCCCAAGCTTAGTGGATTGGCTAAATTAATACTATAAAAATAAAATTAATTAAGTAAACCAAAACACACGAAACCCCTGATTTTTTTATTTTTTATTAATTAAAATTCATGTCAGTTAATGGGGATAAGTTTCCATTTCATACCGAAACAAATCACCTTAAATAACGTTCTATCCCTTGTTTTTTTTTGGATACTCTCTATCTCAAATTATAAAATTTTTAAATAAAATTTTACATATCAATAAATTTTATTAAATATATTTAATAATTTTATCTTTTTAAAATTAAAATATAAACTTTTCAAAATACCTATCATTTGATATATTAAAAAAAGTGATGGAAATTAATTATAGAGAGCGAAGGGTGATATTAAAATTGGTACATTTAATGAAATTTTAATCTATTCAAAATATTTTTTATTTTGAAATGAAAAAACTTCTTTAAAAATATCCTATAATTTAAGATGTAGGGAGTAATTTTTTTTTCCTAAATATAGGAACTACTTTGTGGTAGTTGTGGACGTAATCACGGTTAAATAGTCTGACTCAGCAGTTTATGAATGAATAAGCAAATGGGAAGCAAAATTAATAAGCGGGTGAAAAATCATTTTTCACTCTTAAACTATTTTTTGAACAATACTAGATATCTCATATGATAGTATTATTTTTCGAACAGCACTACATGCTGCAAAGTAATCCAAAAACTATAAAAGTATACCATATGACACCTTCCGTCCAATTTGAAACAAATGTCCACTTGTAGACCGGACCTAGGAGCATGGTTAACTGAAGCTCTGACTAGGTGGCATGACGTGTGCTGAAAACCGATCTACTAGGCATCTACGTGGCTGTGGAAACAGAAGACTGAAGGGCAAGAGTTCACGCTCTCAAGTCTGCAGAAAGCTCGTGGAGTTTTTAACTCTTTTCCCTCCGTTGACAACGTCGGTGAAGAGCGACAGTGAGGACCATTCTTGCATTAATGAACTAGTGATGAAGGAGAGCTAAATCTGCGTTGGTGAAGACCGACGGGTGGGGGGCGATTCCTTCAATTTTTTGGCGATATATTTTGTACATCTGTTTCAATTCCGTTCAGATTTTCAGGTTTATTTGCTTCTCCAATTTCAAATATTAAAGCATGTATTTCTGGGAAGAAGACAAAATTTAAACAAAGCCAGAACTTGACCAAGTTTAATAAGAAATCCACCAATCAGAGACTAGTAACTTCAGCAGCGTTAGAAACCCAGAACTTGACTAAGAAAAACTCAACACATACATCAAGAGAAATCAGGGATGAAGAAAAAATGCTCAAACTTACAGAGTCTAGGAATATTGCAGAAGAGCTGAAGAAAGTGAAATCGTTGCTTGGGAATTTTGACCACACACGCGCCAGGCTAAGAACGCAAAGGGAAGATCAACGATCAAAGGGAAGAGTGGAAGAAGGCTTCACAGAGGGATTTGCAGCTGCAGGGGGAATCAATGATGGATTAGAGGGAAGATGCGAACTTGCCAAGTTTTGCCAAGGAAGACTGAACATGAAATCAACGGATGTAATGTAACGCTCTTATTTCTCAAACCGATTTTTCTTCATTAAAAAAGGCATTATTACCAAAAACTCAATTTTAAAATTGTTCATATGATAGAAAATGGTTTACCATATAACTGGAAGGCAACTTCTCTTGCTCTTGCAGGATGAAATACTTTGATTAATTCTATAACTGCCAACATACCTATGTATACTGTGCAAATGGCAAACCTCCCTACAGCAACCTGTGAGAAGTTAGAAAGTAACAATTACAACTTTCTTTGAGGCACCATCGATGGTCGGAGGAAAGTTCATCTTGTTTCTTAGGATAAAGTTTGTAAAACAAAGAAGAATGGTGGCCTTGGTATTAGGCATGGCTCGGATGTAATTTTGAGGATTCAGAAGAAAAGACCTAGCTCTAGCATCTGGACTGGAATAAAATCAACTTGGGAATTTGTTAAGTCTAGAATTATGATGGGTGTTGATGGTAATGATGCCTCTTGGAAATGGAGCAGTAGTGGTCAATTTTCAATCAAGTTAGCCTATGAATCTTTAGACCCACCTCCTACTCATTGTGATACTACTTGGCGAAAGATTTGGAAGCTGCGGATTCTTGAGAGGTGTAAGTCATTTTTATGGTTATCTTATCATAACAAGTTACTTACTAATGTAGGTTGCAAGAAGCGAGGAATGTGAGTGGGGGATTGCTGTGAGAGATTTACAAGGCAGTAGTGGAAGACATCATGCATACGCTATGAGATTGTCCAAACACAAGAAGATTTTGGGTAGATATTCTAGACAATAGAGACAAAAGGGCTTTTTTTGATGTTAACCTACAATAATGGATCCAACGGAATGTACGGTCAATGGCAACCAAACATTATGTTCTTTAGAGCTCATATTTCTCAATAGCCTGTTGGCTTATTTGGAGATGAAGGAATGAGATGATTTTTCAAAGTAAAACTATATAAAATGCTTCTATTAATGGACATACCTTAGCCATTATTAATACTTTCATGGAATATTGAAGTAGGCTTAAAGGTATTATGTGGAGAGAACATGATAGGTGTAACATCCCAAAAATTAACCTAAGATTAATTAAGTTAATTTAGAGCAAATGAGTAATTTTGGAGGAATATTTAGATATAAATAATCTTAGTTAGAAGATTATTATTGGATTTAATTTAGATAAAATCTAAAGTTATAATTTTTTTTAAAAAATATAGAGATAATAATAATATTATTAAAAAAAAGGAAGAAAGAAGGAGGAAGAAGAAAAAGGAATACTATATTAAAAAAAAAGGGAAACAGCAATCGCAGGCGTGTGTGTATGAGTTTGACATTATATATATAATAAAAGAGAGAGAGAGAGAGAAACCATTTTTTTCCACCTACTTTCTTTTGTTTCTTTCTCTCCACATGTGCGTGTAAGGTATAAAAAAATAAATAAGAAAAAAAGAAGAAATATTAAATAAATTAAAAAAATGAGAAAAGGGAGGCAGACGTTCATGTGTGTGCATTGAAGAAAACAAAAGAAAGAGAGTAAAGGCCGTGGGACCCACGCTTGTTTTAAAAAAAACGCTTTGCCTTATTTTATCTATTTCTCTTCCTTCTTTCTTCATCTGCGTCTGGTGCGAACAGAGAGCGAGCGAGAGAACACGAGTGACGCTGCAGCGGTAGGAGCTGATTTAGAAGGTGATGCTTCATAATGGAATACTTTAGATGAGATTTTAAGTATTCTAAGACTAGATAAGTGTTCTAAACATTTTTTTTAGTCGTTTTTCCCTTTGAGCTGCAGATTTTGAGATTTTGAAAAAAAAAATCTAAAGTTTGAAAGAGGGATGAATTTTTGATGAGAAAATCTAGTTGTTGAGGTTGTTGGTAATGTAATAAATATTCTAGAGTATTATTTTATTGATAGAATTGAAATTTGAGGCATTTGAGTTTATCCCTAGATCCTTATGGGTAGATTTTTGGTTAAATTCAAAAATATAAATTGATTTGTTGATATTTAGATGATTATTTGAGATGAGAAATAAATTATTATGGCTATAGAATAATGATTCTAGGCTTGGAATCAAGTTTGTAATTTTGGGTATTTTATGTGCAAATTTTTGGAATAAAAAGGGAGATTTTGATTTTTAAAAATTATGTGAATGATGTTTTTAGCCAAACTTTAATGAAATTATTGTAAGGGAGACTATTAAACCAAGTGGATAGGTTCAAATACATGAAATTAAATTTTAGAATTCAAGAAACTAAGACTAAGTTCTTAAAAAATAAAATAAAATAAATACTTAGGTGTCAGAGTATGAGTGAAAATTGTGTTAATAATATTATTGACACATTGGGATATGATCGATTGTAGATTAATTTCCTTTGACACCATTCAAGCTTTGGAAAGCTTTGGAAATGTTGTAACTTGAGGGGTAACCTTTGACCTCTCAAAGGTTGAGGTAACCGGGGGAAATCTATTTTATGCATTTGTAGGTTAATTAATTAATTATGTTAGTAAAACAAAAGAATATATATATATATATATCTAAATTTGAAATAGTTGTTTGAAATGTATGTGACTTTGTTGAAACTCTATGACTCATGAGTAATGAGATTGATGGTTGATGATTATGCGTACACTCTTGGTTATAAGTTGTGGATTATGCACAGTGATGAAAGTTGATGAGAATGTGGGATAATTTTGAAATATATATATGAGTTTTTTGAAATGCATTTTCTCATGAGCATGATCATATGGCAGGAGTTCGCCTTAGTGAAGGAGTTAGCGGTTATGCAAAATTCATATGATACTTGGCTATTAACCAATAATCCTAAGGGTTATAGCTGCTACTTACCTTGTAAGGTATTGTAGCATTGTTCCTATTAAGGGACTTGACCCTACTGGCCTACCTGAAGTTTTGGGTATGACACCCCATAGTGTGTGATTTGGGAAAAACTGTGTTCATAAGTGAGTAAGCTAACCCTGGCCCGGTAGCCCCTCATGATATGATTAAGGCCTTGGGTAGTCTCACCACATGGACAATCCCTTTCGATTGTTGGCTCACGAATTTCATGTCAGAGGAAATAAGGGAGGATATAAGGAAGAGATCGATCATGCATATTATTATTATCATGCCATTTGAGTGATTGATGGCTATGTTGAGAATATGATTATAATTGTAGAAATGAGAACATGTAGTAATTATGCGAATAATGTATATGTGGTTATTTGTGCAAATTTTATACTTGACTTTATTTTTAAAATTATTCACATGAGTTAAATGTTAATGTGATTAACGTGTTATTAATGTAATTGTTTGAATGGTCACCTTAATTAATTTATTGGCCACTTGCACTCATGATTAATTATCATGCATTTGTATAACTTAGATGTACCTTGGTTACTGAATGGTTGTACTCATCTCTCTCTTTTAACATATTACAGGAGCTAGCTCATCTGAGAAGAATAGAGAAAAGGAGCATTAGGCCAAGTGATAATAATCACTTCTGTAGGCCTCTTTCCTTTTATGTTGATATGTGTATTTAGTTTATGATATTGCCAATTAGAATAATATATTCTTGATTCACTTGCACTATGGGTTTTATGTTGGATAGAAAGACATTTTGGGCCCTTGAGAATGTGTTTTGATGTTTGTGTTATAGTAATGGGCCAAAATATTTGTGCAAGTAAAAATAGTTATTATCATGCTTTCGCATATGTTTCATTAAATGATATGAGTTCTTAAAATATTTTAAAGACTTGAGATTCCTTTTTATTAAATAGTTTGTGAAAATACATGTTAAGAATTCATTTAGGTTAATCTTGTAATGAACAATCCATTTGGGTTAGTTCTTGATTAACAATAGTTAGTGTGATGATTAAGTCCTAATTTAGGACGCCCTTTACAATAGGCTTTTGCTTAATGGCATGTGGAATCCACCAATTGATGATTGGTTCAAGCTTAACATGGATAGTGCTTTCTCTACATATACGAATGAGATTTACTGTGGTGGACTAGTATGCAACCTAAAAGGGGAGTTCAAAATAGGATTTATGTTTAAAATTAACAATGGGAATTTGCTTTGTGTTAAGCTTTAGGCTTATAGGGCCTTAAAGTTTCTTGGGATTTTGGCTATAAGAAGCTCATACTTGAATTTGATTCCTCCGAAGCTATCAAGGTGCTTAATAATGTTGACCTTTTTGACTTTTTGAATGTTAATCTTGTTGGTGAAATCTAATCATTGCTAGCTTGAGATTGGGTATTGCTCATCCAGTACATTTTGAGGGATGTCAATGAAGCTGTTGATCTTCTTTCTAAGCTAGCTTTTTCTTATGTTAATGGGTTTCACCTTGTCTTCTCCCCTTCCCCTAACTTAGTTATTGTTTTGACGCAAAACACTACTACCAGCTTTTAGTTTCTTTCTTCTTGTATATAAAAAGAAAAAGGAAAAGTGTTTACCATAATAGAAAAGGGTAAAAGATAACTTACAAATCCTATCATGGTAATAAAAGGATTATTATAGTAAAAAGAACAAAAGATGATATTTCAAAATTCTACCATAATAAAAAGAGGTTTACCATGATAATTAAAAATTAAATTATCTTTATAAAAGTTTATTATGGTAGAAAAGGATTTCTCATAACCATAAATTGATTCTCAAAGTCAACTATCATGGTAGAAAATGATATGCCATGATAGAAAGAATTAAACATAATAATTTAGACCTATCATGATAATTTAGGAAGAAACTAAGTTAATTAAATGTGTATCAAAGGGATCTCATTCAAAATAAGTGTTTTAAAATCCAAATTAATGGTATAAATCATAAATAACAGTGAAGCATAGTTCTTAAAGGCTAATTGTCCAAAAACAAGTTTATATAAGGGTAAAAGTGTAAAAATAACAATTCTAGAATGAAATAAGTCAAAAGGTATTTCTAAAAATTGCATATCATCTACTACAACAGATGACACAAAAGAAGTGTTTCTAAAAAAGGACATGTGTTATGGCTAAGGAGACATACTCCATGGCGCATTGTACTTATCATATCTAACCTTAATAAATAGTAAATTAGAACTTTAAATATGTATAAACTTTTAGTGCACATATTCAATTTGAGTAATTCAAATGTCTACATAAACCTTAACACATAATCTAGTTATTGGCTTTGATTTGGTACAAAAATATCTTTAAATAAAGATTTATGCACTACAATCCATTAAGGGTTTCAAACAAAATTTTTTCAAATAAAACTTTATACAAAACCAAAGCCCATAGGTGAAACACTTGGCCACATTCCATACAACCCAAACAACAATTTTGAATCACACATTTGCTCATACACTTAAATTCGCTATAATTGGATTACAACCATTTAACACAAGTATACTTGGATAAGTAATTAAACTTGTCATAGGTCAACTTTAAACTTAAAACATGCTTTCGTCATCAAAACTTAAGACCATGAGAGTTAAAAATAAGTCTCATGGTTATAATGAACAAGTTTATAAAAAGTTATGAGTCTACATGCTCAAATACAAAAAAAAAAAACTATTCTAAGTTGGCAACATATACATCAAAAACATAAAG